GTTGTCTACGGGTTAAAATTTATGGTCGCTTAGTCTTCGCAGGTTCCCATTCAGACCAAAAAGGTACACCTGGAAATCAAGATAAAGTATTCAGTGTACCAAAACTGTAAAACTTGGCTGCCATATGGACGTTAAAGAACTGATCCAAGCCTCTTTAAGTTACTTATTTCAACAGTAAAATACTTAGAAGTAGGTTTTTTAAGCTTAGCTAACAACAGGAGGTCATGTAATTCTATTTAGCCAAAATGATAGTTTTTACATTTCATCCATCTGGATCAAACCACTACAATGCAAGCAAATAACTGGTACCCAACTTTTTGCTGAGTTTTGACCAAAATTTCCTTAACCACTACAAGGCATGGCTGAGACGTCCGCTCATTCTTCAATCGGCAGGCATTCAGAACCCCACCTTTAAATCCTTGAATCAAGATAAAGGTGTGCATGGGCGTGTGTCTTCCAAGCAATAATTTGGCCTGTGATTTTTGCATACAAAGTTCATCCTGCTAATATGTACTACACACAAAGCAGGTATCAGCTATCAAAAGTTTCTTCAAGCTCCTCTACTTGCACATTCCTTTCCAAAACATTTGGATTAAATAAGTGAGAATAAATTCCAAAACAAGATGGAAAAGAACTACAACATATCTAGCATTCTGAGAACAGCTCGTAACCTGATTATCCATCGATTATACAGGAATAGAATTCAAGTGAGAGAGAACACATTAATTTCAGGAAGATGCATGGATCAAGCAAGCTATCCTAGAATGCAGTTCACCTCTTATACGAGCATTTTGCATTTGCAAGGAAAATTCAAAAGCTAATTATATAAATGGATGATCATTCATGGCCATAATAAGTTCTAAACCGAAGTGGAATTCGACCTGGTCTGGGAAATCATCCTCCGCGCATGTGTGCACCCAATTCTCCAAACTGTTCATCAGCTTCCACAGTATCAGCCGACAAGCGAACTGCATCCAACTTCTGCTTCAGCACGTCTATTGCATTGAGAAGCAATTGAGAAGCTTTGATAGCACCAGTTGACTCAACAGTAAAAATAAAACTATCTTCCTTCGCACGGATTTCTACAAGGCCTGGTTTACCCATCGATTCAGCTTTCTTAATCACCTCTTCGTCGTACGTATATGCCTCGGCATCATGAATCAGAACCTGCAAGGAGAGTGTTAAAAATGAAAAAAGAGACATTATTAAATACTAAAACCTCAAACATAATATTTTAATAATATGTGCTTAAAGCATTGGCCGAGAAGTCATTTTATGATATACAAGCCGAATATAGGTGATGGAAGGACTATGGAATTGTATCAAAGATCTCTTGGTCACCCTTTTCTACCTAGTTTGCATTTTAAATCATAATAATAATGCATCATGTAGCAAGTAAAAACTTAGTTCTTCCTGTTACATTGTTGTTGCATAACTAGAAGAGATATACGATTGTGCTGACTGTCATTTAACAAGTAATTATGAGAACCAAAGATTCTATAAACTCCATCTACTGCTATAAATTCTGATGGCATCCATAAATCAATTCTATTAGATTCAAATATCACAAACCTATCATTTTATTAAATTCCTCTAAAATTTCTCCTTCGATACTAATGACTCATTGTACACAAGACAACACATCAAATGCACACCACTTACAAGACAAACACGTCAAGCTATGATAAGAAACTAAAACAGTTGGACTTGAACCAAGATACCAAAGACAACCAAGCAGTCGTTTACAAGTCCAAGGAAACATTATTATGAATGCTTGTAACTTAAAAAAATTTGCTATATGGGATGTCACAAGGAACATAAGAAATGTATATAATGTGAATTACAAGCATGTTCCGGAGTTGTATAAATTATTTAAATTATTAATAGAAAGAAATGAGTGGTGAATAAGTGGGTAGTACTTGTGTGCCCCATACAATACATGGATAAAAAGTGGTTTGCTTATTTATAAACGGTAGCCAAACATGGGTTAAGTGTCTCAAAAAATCAGCTAAATGAAATTTCAAAAGATCA